ACTGGTTGCTCACTTTGCATTTTGTAAATTGATAACGCTCATCCTTGCTATAATATGTACTAGTTTCCAAGAAACTTAGACATTTATGAGGGTTGTATAAAAAGGTGTCTTTTGTCTACCAGCAGAATACATCTGACTGACAGAATGAATTCTCTTCAGCATTCCTCAATTATAGACACTGCAGGAAGAGAACTATGTTAATTTATGGTGGCCAAAAATTAAGAAGGGATCTGGTAGCACCTTTTCCAGCTAACAAATTTTGTTAAAAGGTATAAGCTTTTGTGAGCGTCAGCTTCCTTCCCGAAGCAACTCTACAGAGTTAGGGATTTTCCAGTACACATTTGTGAGGGGCACAAAGAAAGAGAAGGAAAATCTTGTTATGTTTTAGGGTTTGTCTTGAATGTTTGTCATTCCTTGCAAAAAAAAAAAATTAAAAAATCAGAAATTAAATCAGAACATGATGAGGAAGAATTGGTATGTAAAGCTTAAAGACAGTGAAGCAAAATAACTCTATAAGCATCTACAAAATGTTAAGATGTTGCAGAAATGAAAAAATGGTTAAACACTGGTTGTCTAAACTTTAACATGCAGCTTTTCCTCACCAAAACTAAAAAAGTAAGTTTTTGTGCATTTAAGAAAAAAATCTAAATATTTTATCATTTAATATTTGAGCTTAATTTTCCTTCGTTACTGTTGTTTGTTTCTCCTCTTCCTTCCTTCCTATTTTTATTCTGCTGTAACTAAAAAGCACTTTTTTTAAAAAAAAAACTTTCAAAGCAGGCTTACTGACAGATCCTTTCCAAAAGGTCAAACAGCTGAATTCAGAAGTCACCAAGGCCTGGGTTGTCTAACAAATGTTCCAGCTGGGCTTTTGCCATGAAGATGAGTCAAGTGCTATGGTTCGTTATTCTCCATGCAGTACCAAAGGCCTCAGCGCAACGGATCCAAAATTTCACAGTTACGCTTCTAGGCCACACACTAGAAATGCACAGAACACCACAGATGCAGGCCTTTTAGACAAAACCCACCATCAATCAAGAGCAAAAGGCCAGGGTAGCTGGAAAAAAATGAGAAGAAAACAGCCTTTTGTTCCTTTTTGCCACTGGAGGATTATAAGAAAAAAGGAGAGAGTCAAGTGCAGGTTTTCAGAGCTGTACATAAAAAGCCCATTCATCAGGTGATAAAAGTCACATGCATTTGATTGTGCCAGTTAAACAAAATCACAGTAAGAGGCATTTGTTCAAGAAATATCAGGAACTGAAGAACAGCAGGGGAAACAAAGACACTCCAACCATTCAAAGAGCAAAGGGCAGACGGAGATAAAGGCAATAAGGAAGGACAGACAGTTCCAACACAGAGGAGAAAGCAGCAATATTGATGGGTGAAAACTTGAATATTTATTTATTTTACAACGTCTATAGCCCAACCCAATCCACATGGGTTCTGGGCAGTGAGCAATGTAATTTCAAATGTGTCACAATGCAAACTAAAAAATGAAAGCATACATCTGCATAAGAAGGTATCTAGCCAAAACTGACAGGCCTAAACATACTGTTTTCCAGTAGTTATTTAGATCTACTGCTATTTATACATGGTATATCTTTAAACATCCATTGTGGTAGAAAAACTAATACCATTCTCAATACATTACACACCAGCATTTTTCAAACTTGGCAACTTTAAGGTGTGTGGACTGCAACTCCCAGAATTCCCCAGCCAGCATG